GGGGCCGTGAGATGTCTGGTGGTGGTAGCTGGGAGAGTGTGAGGTGTTTTTGGTGTTGCCTTAATAGCCAAGCTGGCCGCAGGGGCATCTCGCAGTTCCCTAGTTCCTAGAGAGGGTGCCTGGAGAGCGAGGAGCTAAGCTGAGCTTGCAGGGAGTGTTGCCTTTTACTTGAAATTTGTGATGTGTGCTTTTGGAGACTGGCTGAATTACAGCTTCAGGAGTACTGTCAGTGTGAAAGTTGGGCAGCTTGTGGATTTGGTTTTGAACTGTTCCTCTGTTTTGGTGCAGTTACCTTTCTATTGTTTATTTTGTTGTCTCTAAATTGTAATGTTATGATGTCAATGGGAGAAGTAGAAATGACTATTGTGTACAGAACAGTGAAGTGTGCTGTAAACCAAGCCTTCTGGAGGACTGCAGACTCTTTCACCATCATTAATGGAGGAATGGAGTATTTAACTATTACTTCAAGATATTTTTTTCTCCTTTATTTGAGAGCCTTTGAAAATAGATAGGAGAATAAGGATTTGTAACTGCACACAAAACAATAAAGGAAAGGCAGGAGATAACCTTTTTTGAATGGTGGTATTGCCACGATCCACTGTAGGAAGAAAAAACCCACAGATGTGGCTCCTTGTGATGACCAGGAAGGTGTGTAGGCTTCACTTGATGTAGAAGCAGGTCGGGCACAGTGTCTTGCTACCTGCCCCTGTGACAGCAAGACTTGTAGAAGTTGATGTGTTACCTTAAACTGGTTTTGCTTTGTTGCAGTAGGAGGTCATTAACTTAGTTCCGTGCTGCACAAATGTGGTTGTGTTGTTTGAGGAGCTTAATTATCTTCAGGGCTTTTGAGTTCTGAATGTTTCATTTCTGTCTTAGCCACCTGGGATAAGAAACTGGGATGAGTTTAGGGATGCCGCTCATCTTTGTGTAGAACCTTCCTCGTTAACTTATTACTTAAGTGATACATGACAATATCTCCTTTTTTCTCTTGCAACATGTGCTAAACTCTTCAGTTAATCATCTAAAAACACTTTTATTTGTCTTAGAACTGTGAAAAAGGGTTCACAAAGGACCAAGCAGGAAGAAAAAAAAAAGAAACAAGTGGCATGGAGGCGACCACTCATGAGCAAGCCTGTGGATGATGTGTACTTAACGTGGCATTACCAGCGGCCATCCTATGATTTGGAGGTGGCTGTGGGTATGCTAAAGAAATTTCAGGAGCTGGACTTCACTTACCCGAAGCAGTACGTCTACATTAATGTATTCCTAGATATGGCACTAGAGAAGAAGGTACGTTGGAAGTGGGAGTTGTGATTTTTCTTGTTTTGTTTTAAAATGGGAAGACTCACCTTGTTTTGGTGTTTTCTTAATAAAGGTCTTTGAAAGTATCCTATTGCTTGTTTGGCTGTGAGCTTGTTGATTTAAAAGTGTCTAGCCCAGTTGAATTTTCCCCTAAAACTCCTTCTGCTTCTCCCATGAGTAGAAAACAGGCCACTTCAGAAGGGATTCTTCGTGTGTTTAACTTTATATGCCTTTGGATGCAACTTCAACACTTCAGTGGTGGTTGCTGCCCATGCCTGAGCCTGGGAACTATCCTAAACTGGAGTCACTGATCCCAGCCCCTTTGCAGGATCATTAATTCATACAGCATCATTAATTCATGTCTCAAGTTTTAAATTTGAGTATATGCTGGCCACAAAAAAAGCTGTCAAAACTTATGCATCATGCTCGTTTGTTACAATCCCTCTGCAAGGAAGTTGTGGGTACGGTGGCTGTGCAGAGGACTAACTCCACATGATTGTATAACTTGCCCTTAAGTCATGATTTCTTTCTTTTTTCTTGTTATACTGTTTTTCTTTCTTATTAGAAAAAAGTGGAGCCGTTTGCAAGCACAGTTCTTCTTCCGTATCGATTTTCAGATGAAACAAAGAAGGTCTTGGTTTTCACAGAGGTGGGTGAGCCTGAGTTCGTTGCTTTGTGTTCTAGTATCTAGTGTGATCTTACTACACAACTAGTTCCCATTAAAGTACTACTCCTTTTACTGAGAAGACTCTGAATGCTTTTTAGAACTCTTGACTGTCTAAGATTTGTCTTTGGCAGTATTTTAATATATTACCATGCATCTTAGGGGCTTTCCTTCCTCTTCATAGGTTTATGTATATAGAGAGTATCCTGAAATGCAGGTAGGGAATATCTGCATAGCTGTGGCTAAGGCAGAGAGGATTAAAAAACAGTTCTAGAGTAAAACCTTTTTGTGGTGCAGGCAGAGGGTTTGGTGTAGCAGCCATATCCAACTGTGCTGTCTTAAGCCTCTGGGTGCAGATCAGACATAGGTGTTAGAGTCACTTCTGATGTAACAGAATGCCTTAGGGGGAAGAATAGAAAGTAACTTCTTTAAAACACTCAAGAACTTAGTAGCTCTCTGCCCCACACTGTTTGTCTCCTCTCCTGGGAGTTCACTAGTGTGAAATGGTGTGTAGAGCGGTTGTAGCATCTGAGTAGTTGTAGCTTTCATGAATATCTGCTTGTATCAGAAGCCCGAGCTGAAGTTTTACAAAACTGATGCCTTTTTACCTTTCCATATTTCAGACTACTAAAAGGGAACCCTTGCAGAGGCCAGATGAGCTTAACTTCTAAAAGCTCTTTGAAGCCAAAGCGTGTTAGCACTTTTGGCAGTTCAGTAGCCTTATTTTACTGTTTAATAGCATGTTCTGTGCCTGTATGAAGCTTAGAGTAAGATGTTGGCTCCATCCAGTGGAGGTTCATTGTAGTTACTGGGGGATGGAGGTGGGACAGAAAGGACTTCTGATAATCAGGAGCTCCTCAGCAAATGGGGTGGGCTTTTGTTTTTCTCCAGTAGAAGCTGACTAAGACTATTGCTTTTTATTGGTACCTGGCATGAAGTGGAGTTGCTGCTCCTATATTACGTCACCAGCATTAGCTGGTTTTGGTCTTTGATTACCTTAAACCATTCCAAATAAATCACCTACTCGGTGCTGATGGTACAGAATCATTTGTAGTAAAGGTGTTACTCATTTTTTTGTTTTTGTTTCACAGAATGAGCAAGAAGCTGAAATAGCTCGAGAGAATGGAGCTGCTGTTGTGGGAGGAGTTGAATTAGTCAAATGGGTATTTATTTTATTAAGATTTATATAACTATCTGAACTTTAACAGCAACTGGGGAGCAAGGAGCAAGAAACCTCACATCCAGTAAACTCTGGCTTGCAGCTAGCAGTCAGTACAAAGAGTGGAAGGTTTCTGTGCTCAGGCATGCTTGTGGGTCAGCTCATTTACTGAGATAATTTGTGTTCTTAAATATATTGCTTTTATTGCAGATTTTGGAAGATGAAATCCAAGTGGACTTCTATGTAGCTGTTCCTGCAATAATGCCTAAGCTAATACCATTAAGAAACAAGCTAAGACGAAAATACCCAAACACAAAAAGAAGTAAGAAGCAATTCTTTTTTAGATATCTCAGATACCGAATAAGATGTTTGGAGGTGACACAAACTTTTTTGCTTAGGAGTGTTAGACTGTGACTGAACAGCTTGTTTTGTCTTAAGATATGAATAGTTTTAGGAATCTAGAACTGTTCTTTTCTCCTACCACAGGGAAATATCGGGTTAGAATCAAGGTAAAATTGCCTACTAGTTGCTCCTATGCTTGTTAGTCCTGATGAACCATAACAGTATTGTGAAGTTTCCAAGGAAAACGAAAACAACTTGGGGGAAAAAAAAGCACACTGACGTAGTTGTGTGGTTGAGCTGTTGTGCAGTGGTTTGTATCCCAGCTTCTTGACTGCCACCGCTGCTTCTGCCTGCTCTTTACCACTCAACAACAGTTTTCTGCTTTTGCTTAGTATAGCCTACTCCCTTACCTGTGTGGGCTCTCCTGTTTCATAATGCTCAAGACAATTCTCCTTCAGGTCAAGTTTTCCCAGCAACAAATGTCAGTCTCTCAATGCTTTTGTCAACCCTTGCTCACTGACTTTTATTTTAGCCATATTTCAGGAATCTAATTCAAAGATGAAGAAAGCAAAAGGGATGTTTTTTAAACATAGAGCCAGTGCCAGCTGTGTGAAACACTGAGTTTGAACCATGTCTCTTGCCTCCCTTTCCCAGCAGCTGTCTTGATGTTTTCCAGGCTGCAGGAAGTGTTTTAAGCTTTTAAACATTGAGACAAACCCATTAACGTGTCCAGAGCATTCCAACAGAGAATACAACTCCAGATACTTTTTGGAACCAATGAAAACTATATAATGCCATTATGAACTTGGTTTGTAGCTTATCCAGAGCTGTTTTCTCCTGGAGCTGTCTGTAGATGTGTGGGAGAGGTAATGCTTGTATTTGAAGCAGCTGAGTGACGGTGAAAATGGGTCAAGTGAGCCTTTGCAGCTGAGATAAGAAACACCTGTATTGACTTGTGGCAATAGCTGGACTGGGCTGGTGTGTTCCATGTAGGGTCTGACCTTGCTAATGTATAGCTGTAGATTTTGTTTTCAAGGAAGACTTGGGGCTTGTTCTAAACCTAACTCGGAAGGTTTTTGCTTTCAGGCTGCTCTAATTGCAATAGATAATGAAAGTTTTGGTTTAGATACTCGTGAACAAGTTCTTTATTTGAAGTGAAGGCTTTGTAAGGTTTTCTACTGTTGTAGATAAGCCTACTGATTAATGAAGGAGGAAAGACCAAAATGATTTACGCGTTATGTGTGAGGACACCATTGTCTTGTTTGTGAAACTGCCTTTGTGATTGGAATTTAAGTGCCTTCATGGGAAGATGGAAATCTCTCTTTACTAATAACCCACTTACTCACACTAATAAGCATTACTCAAACAACTCTTTTTTTTTTTTTTTATCAGATTCCATGGGCCATGATATTCCCAAAATGCTGCAGCTCTTCAGAGAAGGCCTTGAGTACGAAGTAGAAGACGAGAATCTGATCAAGACAAGAATAGCAAGAGTAAGTTGTATACAGAGCTCCTAAATTTTCCTCTGCTGAGCAAAACTGGCCAGTATTGAAGAGGTGGAAAAACATGTTTTTAATCTGTATGTTCCTAAGATTCTTAACCATGTTCTTCAACTGCCCTGTGAAGTCAATGGCACTCTTAATATTTGTTGTGTGACATGCAGCTGTTGTGAGCCCTGTGTGTTGTTAATGTGTCTGGTCATAGAAGGTGGCTCTGCTAAAACTTGGGAGCAAGGCATTCCTTATGCTGAGATATCAAGGATGCTGAGAATTCAATCTGTATTTGCCACTATATTAGCAAGGGATTGTCACAAAGAGCAAAATAGGATGAAAAAAAGTGCTATTCCTCGGATTACGTTTTAACCCAAGCTTCCCATTCCTCAGCACTCTTCTGCGGAAAGAATAAAGCTTATGTGATTTTTTTTTTTTTTTTTTTCAAGTAAATAAACTGTGGGTTGTAGGTCTGTAGCCTATGCACAGGTGGATCAAAAAGTATGTGTTTTAACCTAATAATGAAAGGCTCATTTAATTTTGATAACTTTCATTCCAGACCGGAGCAAAAAGCAGGAGCTGTTTGTCTTAAATGTAAAATATGAAATGAATTTGTGCATTGCTGTCATATAAGAAATTGAGTTGTATAAAAGTATCTCTTGTCGGGGGGAGGCTTCTTAATGTATTTTTATTAATATGTTTAATTTTTATTTAAATCTTATTTTCCCTTGCTTCTGTGTGGGTTTTTTGGCTTTCTTTCTGTTTTGTCTATTTGTAGTCCTGCCCGCTATTTTCTTTTATTTAAGTGATAATAGTATGGAAAGGAAGTGTGCAAGCTGTCTAATCCCTGGAGCTTTGTGTGGAGGTGAAGATAAGCAAGTTTATTATGTGGGTGTCACAGGATAAGAAAGACATTGAGGGGCTGGTGCATGTCCAGAGAAGGGCAACGAAGCTGGAGAGGGGTCTGGGGAACATGTCTCATGAGGAGTGGCTGAGGGAACTGGGTTTGTTTAGTCTGGGTAAGAGGAGACTGAGGGGGGACCTTATTGTCCTTCTGAAAGGAGGTTGGAGTGAGGGAGGTGGGTGTTGGCCTCAAGTAACCAGTGATAGGATGAGAGGAAATGGGCTGGAGTTGTACCAGGGGTGGTTTAGATTAGAAATGAGGAAGAATTTCTTTCCTGGCAGAGTGGTGAGGCATTGGACCAGGCTGCCAAGGGAGGTGGTGGAGTCACCATCCTTGGAGAGGGGTTCAGAAAACTTGTGGATGTGGCACTTGGGGACATAGTTTAGTGGTCATGGAAGTGTTGGGTTGACGGTTGCTCTTGATGATCTTAGAGCAACCTTAATGTTTCTATGATTATAAGTGCACCACGAGAATTGAAGTGATTCTGTTTATTCTGGCTGGCTGCTCTGTTGTGTGTGAATGTCAAGGGCTTACTCCTCTGTGATACTGAAAACTGTGGATCTTGGGACTATTCTGATGAAGTGTTACATGTTACACTTTGATACAGGCAGCAAGTATCTTTAGATGTTTGTAAATTTGACTGTGTAAGACTCCTTGAATCAGTAGATCGGTTCCCAATTCTTGTGACTGTATTCTTTAATTTCTTCTTTGAAATGCTTAAACCTTACTATTTTGCACTGTAAATCAGCCTAAAATATACCTGCAAATTAAACTTAAACTTACTGTGTAACTGCACACGCTCTGTCACACAGTTGTGTGGTGAGTTGTGTGCAGAGGGATGACTCTGTGGTTGTGGCTGGCGTAAAACGTCTCCACCCTCTATAGCTACTCTCTGTACCTGACCTGGTTTTCCTCCCCTCTGTGCAGTGGTGCCAGGAGGAAATGCAGTGCAGGCAAAGCTCTGAGAGTCTTCAGTATTTGAAGGTATCTGCTCACCACTAAATCAAGAGCTTTTTACATTTAAATCTTCTCAGTGAGAAAACAGTAATTAATGAATTACACAGAACCGTGATGATCTGTTGCTGTATCCCAGACAGTGGTGTAGATGTTTCTGTGAGTCTGCCAAGCTGGCGTTTCTCAAAGAGATGGTTTCCCTCTAGTGCTGCTGTCTGGTGTTGCCTGTTACATCAAGCCACTGGCCATAACTGAACTAATGCTCTGCTCCCACAGATGTCAGTGGCCTCAGTGGTGTTTTCTTAGCAGTAATTGAGAAGCCTTCAAAAAGCCCAGAAGTTGGCAGCAGGCAAGTTTAATTAGTAGACTGGATGTTGTGAACCTGAGAACGTAAAATGTTCTTTTAAGACATAGATCTTAAAGCATAGGGGAGACAAATAAGGAGGTTTGAGATATCTCCTTCAAAATCAACCTATCTGCAGAGGGCAGCTTCAAGTCTGTTGTGTGTTTGTTTTTTTTTTGATTAGGGTTTTGCCTTCAGTATTGAGTCCAGACAGGGTGCTGTCAATCACAACAGCATTCTTTTTCCCAAGTTGGAGCTGTCTCTAGAAAAACGAGTCTAAATGTGACACCAGGAAGGTATTTTTGGTGCATCCTCTTGTCTGTGCAGAGGGCTGCCTGGGAAATGACGCCTTTGCAGGTCAGAGTGAGATGGCTTCAGAAGGTGAGACTTCAAGGTTTGCTAAGAAGGATGTGTTTTCTAGGATGGGCCGTGTTTATGGGAGCACTGTTTTATTTGCAGGGTTTGAAATATGGATAGATGTTTACTGAACCAGAGGGCCCTCAAACTTGGTACCCCAAGATATCCCATGGAAGGGCTTGCCTGTCTGCAATGCTATTTCTCAATGGTTCCAACTTTTGACAAGACCAGGATGAGAGAGATTCAGTTTTCAATTATGTGTCTTGCTGCTGAAGGTGTTTTAAGTCCTTATGGTATGTGTTGGACTGTGTGTACCTGAAGAATGTCTTCCTAGTAGTCTTGTGCTGGCAAAAGTCCTGAGTCTGGAAATAAACAGCACCAAGGATGTGGAAAAAGTTGTAGTGAGTTAAGCCAGGAGCAGGAAATAATAGAATGTAGGTACAGAAAAGATAAATGATTTTCCTTCCTGCAGATTGCATGAGGCTGCTACCTCAGGATTGCATCTGCTTTGACCGCCAGGATGAGAAAATGCTATTTGCACAGTCCATGTTATAATAGGCACAGAAATCTGGTTTTTTTTCCTCTTTTTTTCTGACCTTCTCCAGAAAGTTCATAACTGAAAAGTAACCTGTGAAAGCAAGGCAACACAAAATAAACCCATGCTTTTTTCTTCTTGATACTGTCAGCCCTCCAAATGTCTTTGCAAATGGTGCAGAAGAGTTGCTCTACCACATTTGTCAATGCTTACCTGTTGGTTCAGAGGCTTTCTTTTTGTTCCTGAAAGCAGAAGGGTGAGTTTCTGCCTGCCATATGTAATGAAAGATGCTTCATGTCCCAAAATAATGGCCAAGGGGAGTTGTTGCATCATGCTTGTGCAATGCTGAATATTAATAGGTGATTTCCCTCTACGCAGCAGAGTGATTGGGAAGCCCTTTTAAAGATAACTACAATGTAAGTTATTTAAAAAAAAAAAGAATAAATAACTTCTCTGAATCTTTTTACAGCACTTTGTGCTTCCCTAGAGAGGTGTCCGAAACTTTGAACAATAGAATAGGCAACAATTAATTTCTGTCTTATGACTGTAGTATATACTGTCATTCTTGAGGGTACTTTGTGGTTAGGTTCTACTTACACAGTGTGGACTGGAAATTGGTTTATAGTTGCTCCCTCTGCAGGCAGCGTCTTTCTTCAGACCCTAGAGATCTTTAGCTGTCCCTGAAGTCCATGTGAACAGAGCAGCCTGCACAGCCTTCAAGACTTGGTCCAGAGTACTTCTGGCAGTTTGGCCAAGGTTTGAAGAAAACTGAATATTTAAGTGCTGATACACAATGACTGTGTGTACATGAGGACTTGCTGTGGAATTCTTATTTGGAAGCTGGCCTATTTGGATGTGGAAGTGATTTTGAAATACTTGGAACCCTCTGAGCATTACCTGTCTTCATTATGGAGCTGTTGGTATCTGAAGTGAATGATGGTGTGTGATCTTTTGGGATGTGTGATGTCTGACTGAACACAAGTCACTGTCCTTTTGTCCTGTCTTAACAAATCCAAAATGTTATTTGCATTTTGAGATGATTCTCATAATACGTTGAACTTCTAAATTTTTGTAAGAAGTTGTAATGGTGTTTAGAGCAACTTGCCAATTCCATCTCTTCTGCTTCCAATCTTGGTTAAAGATGATAAATGCCAAGCAGCTGAGGAAAATTGTACAGCTGAGGGTTCACTTAAGACTGAAATAAATGTAAGGTTTGGAAGCAAATGCTGTGTGAAACTTCTTTTGCACTATAATTTCTAATTAGTTGTTATTAATGAATTGTTTTGTTTAGATCTGAGTATTCCTCTATTTTCCATTTTATACAACGTGATGAGTCTGTCAGCAAAGTGCTCAGCATTAATAAATTAACAGATGTAAAATTCCATTTATGAATGATTAAGCACGTTGTAATGACTGTAACAATGATAAAGACAAATGTGTTCTGGCCTCTGTAGCAGAGGAGCTGCGTTTGGATTGTAAGTCTGCCAGAAGAGCATAAAGAGGTATTAATGGACCAGATCTGGGAGGAGAGTAGTAGAGCATAACAGTATTTCTGCTGCCATGTGATGCATACACTTACAGATAAGTGAGATATTAATAAAATCTGCTCATGTTACCTTGAGAGGCAACAGAAAGGAAGAGGGGACCCCAGTGGTACCTGTACACTCCCCTGAAGCAGAGTTAATTCAGTGAGAAAAAGGCTATTTATTGTTCATAGCTGCAACTGCTCGTAAAAACTTGATTTTTCATCGAGATAAAGATATGTGGATGGTATGGTTCAGACCAGACAGTGAATTAAATGAAGCACAGCAAGACACTGCTGCAGCTGAACATGAAATCTGAGAAATATATATGAAGCTTTCCAAGAGCTTCAGTTGGGTGAGGGCATAGGGCAGAACAAAGGAGCCATCAGTCCACTCCAAAAAGGGTAGATGCAGACCTGGTGTATGTTCAGAGCTCAATGCTTCCACATATTTGATGTATAAAGCAAAAATTCCATGGAATATTTTAAAATGGGAAAAAAAAGGGGAAGAAACTATAATTAGAAAATACTTGATTTTGTTCTGTTAAAATTCTGTTCTAGATGTTTGTGTTTCTTGATTTTTTTTTTGTGGTCTTTGGCTACTTTTTTTTGGGAAAATACTTGTAGATATATTGGGCTTTAAGACTTTTTACACCTTCGAGGCTGTATGTTTTTTCAGAGCCATGGGAATTTAATGTCATGAGTGAAACAGAGAAGAATGCTGAGTGGATAACCATGTATCCAATTCACTTGGAGCAAGTAGTATTTTATAAGGCTGTTAATGGGATTTGTAACTCCTTAACAGGAAACATGGAGAAACAAAACTTATCTAAATGTAGAATGAACATGTACCCAGTGCTTTCGTATTTATTAATCCAACCTTTAAGTATCACCTTGGCTAACTTGGTGTTACCCTTTTTCAGCTGGATATGCCTACTGAGCAGATAGTTGCCAATCTGAAAACAGTTATCAATGATATCTGCAGATTCAAGCCATCCACTTATGGTAAGCAGCCCTTTTTGTAATGGGATATTTGAAGTTACAGGAAAAAAAAAAAAAAAAAAAAAATTAAGAAATGAGTGTTCTTTACCAAGCTGGTCTGCCTTGTGGCACGAGGAGGCAGCTATTAAGAATAGATGTTAGTTACTTGCATAAGTTAACATCTCATCTGATTAGCTACCTTTTTTATTACCAAGATATTTTTTAAATTTCTGCTGCTCAGAGGAAAAAGCTGTTAATCCTTTTCTTTAATTCCTTAGTGAAAGGATCAGGTGACAGAGGAGTAAAGGTGTGAATTCTGCATGGTGCTCCTGCAGGTTCTGCTTGCTGTTGTGAGCAGCTAGTACACTATCTGCTCTTTGTCATAATGAAGTAAACTTCAAACAAATGTCATCTGCTTCGCTGGAGTAGAAATGGTGATTTATGAACATAATTTTATGGAAGGATAGCCTTGTTTAAGCTAAGTCCACAACTTTTTATATTAGTATTGGCTTAATGTATGCAGAAAGAATCATCTTGAATCTTTTCCTGTGATGCCGTTGATAGTAATTACTGTACAGAGAACAGCCTACGTAGAGCCAAGTACTCATCCATTTAGAGGCATCTCAGCCCAAATAACAAATACAAAGGGTTGGTTGACTTGAAATATAAATAAATAGAAGCAGAAAGTGGTGGTATTTTTGTCCTTAGTTAGGTTATATGTGAACTACACCAACCTAGTTAAGTAAGGGTAAGCTCTTCTGGTCTTAGTAGAATTTCTACTGATTTTATGGTAGCAAGCTTTGTGGTGGGTCTCTTTGTGGATTCATTCAAATGATTTGCCATTTGTAGGAAACGAACCTGATAATTAACTTGTCTTGACTCCATCATTGTAAAGACATGGTATAGGTTTCGTACTAAGGTGAATCAGCCTGGAGACATGAAAAACAGTGTGACCAAATCAGTGGTGGTGTTTTCCAGATCCTATTGTGCAGAAGTTGGTTATCAGATCTTCAACCAGTGAAGGTTTGCTATTGAACCTTGATGGAGTTCTACCTCAAGTGGAGAAAGCAGAAGAAAAAAGTGCAGAAGATGAAGAAAAAAGTGCAGAAGATGAAATAAAAAATGCAGGAGATGAAGAAAAACATGTCCAATAATCTTTTAGTATCTGATGTCTTTCCTTGTAGATTTGATCATCAAGCTTGGGAAGAAAATGGTGTAATTCAGATCATGCTTTATGAAAAGACAAAAATAAATCTAACCTGTGAATTTTGCTTGTAAATTCTGTGTAACAAGAAACATTGTCACAAACAGGAGCCTGTTGTCAAAATCTGAAGACGTTTCCAGTTCCTTTTGCCGTTAGCTGAGAGCTCCCTAATTTGTGTGTGTTTTTTTCATTGTATGTGATAGTTTTTACTTTTAATAAAAGTATTTCTATAACTTCTGAAGTACTGCCATCTAATTTCCACAGTTGCAGCTGTAAGGTCAGCACATGTTACAGCCATTTTACTTTGAAATGTCAATATGTCCAGTGCTTGTATTGTCTTGAGTTGGCCCCCCCCTGCCCCAAGCACCTGACACAGTTACTTGCAGGAAGCTGCTGTGTAACTCACCAATGAAGGAAACTAGTTTTTATTCACCATTCCATTTTTCTGCCAGGTCAGATGTGGTGGAGTTGGTGGCAGTCATGTCTGCGTGGTGCTTGTGATATCTCACTTTGTTTTCATTCAGTCTGCATGTGTAGATACTGGAAGGGTACACAGGATTACTGCTCTGCTTCTTTGAGCCTTGGAATGCAGGTTAGTCTTTGGGAGTAAATTGTCATAGGTGAGGTTTTTCTAAGGGAAAATTTTATGTATTCTGTGGGAGGAATGACTGTGCCAGCTCATCTTTGAAATAATGCTGTTTCATCTTTTCAAAACTGACACAGTGCTTCTCAGAATCCTGTCAGTTAGTGGTTTTCACTGTCCTGGAAAGAAATGCTTAAAGAGGTTTGGGATGAAACCCAAGTGAAGCTACAAAGTTTTAAGTGTCACTTCCTCATGTTTTCTGTCACAGAGGTTCTTGCTGATGGTCTTGTGAATAACCACTTGAGTGGATGGGTTTGGGGGACTGGTGGCAGCTTCACAACAAGCTGCAGATCTTTTTTCCACACAGCTGACTTAGAGGAAGATTTGCATGCTGTGTTTCCCGATGAGGGTTTTTTTTTTTTTGGCCCAAAAATGCTGACTAATGCTTTGTGTGGATTTCATGGGTTACTGTCTGGAGAGGAAGAGCAAGTATGTAACAGGAGCAGTGAGTAGCAAGGAGCTGTAGGGCTGTGGTCCTGTGTTTCCTATGAAGTCAGGTCAAGAACAGTTCATTCCTCTTGCTCTATGTCTATGCATACCACTTAGATTTGGCAGAAAAATCTTGAAAATAAAGACTCCTTAATTGAAATAGAGGTCTTCTCAACAAATAAATGAGTTGAACTCTTGTTGGGGTTAGAGCTCTTGCACCTTCTGATGTGTTTAACTTGGCCATGGTTCTTTTTTTTCTTTTTTTTTTTTTTTATACAGGCAGCTTTTTGTTCTTTGGGGCTGGCTGGCGTGGGTCAAATGGACTAAAACCAGAACGCCAACCCTTTTTCACAACAGCCAGCCTCACACATGCTTGTGATATGATCTTACCATGCCACCTGATTTAATTCACACTGTCTGCTTCTTTTTCTGACCTTGTTCTTCCCCAGCACGGTTCTGAAATAGAAACTGGACACCAGCATAAATATCCATGCATCTTTTAAGTGACTGTTTAAAAATAGGTGGTTTTTTGCTTTGCTGCAGTTTCTCTCCCAGTTTTTTTTTCACGCTGTTTCCACCAGGTGGCATTCTTGTTCCTTTCTGTGGAGGTGCTGGGAAAAGAGTTTCTCAATGGATTTTCTGGGGGGGAACTTTTTTGCTAAACATATTAGTAAAAGTACAGCCTAAAATGTTAAGATCTTTCCAAAAAGGATTGGCTGTTTACAAAAGGGATGAGATTCTCCAAATCTGGAAGGGTGGTTTGTGTTAATAGGAGTTATTATTATTGGAGGAATTATTACTGCGTATTCCTATTATTGTACCTCCCATCTGAAGCATTTGGCCACTGCCAGTCAGGATTCTTGACAGATTACAATTTGGCCACGC